AATTATATAATTAAAATATATATCTAGGTAAAGTTTTTAGGCCTAAGTATTCCTTTTATGTATATAAGGTAGGCCTAAGTATTCCTTTTATATATATAAGGTAATTATCCTTTTTTTCTTTTCTTATAATAACTTAAAACCTTTAATATCCTATAAGATTATTATTAAATTAAGCTTTATTGCTCTAAGCCTTTATAATTAAACCCTTGTCACAGTTATTACGGAGAACACAAGATTAAATGGCATGTGCTGAATGAGTTGTCAAGTAAATATCAGAGTACTTGGTCGACCTGCCATCACAAAACGTGGAATGCTTCGACGTTGCAGAGTGCAAGGGTCATACAAGCGATGTGGCCAGGAATCCGGCAATCAAATTACTTGGCTTCATGATGGACTTGACGAAACAGCGTTGGCTACAGATAAGACTGTCAAGGTGTCGTCAACACTGGCCGTTCTAGAGCCAGTTCGCAAGGCGTGGATGGCACATTGTATGAAGCAGTGGGTCTTCAAGACGAGTAGTGAATCATGCCTTGTCACAAAAGATGGCACAAGACGTATTTCAGTTCAGGTACGATCGGTCACTAATGATGCATTCCGTTTTTTTGCGTCTCGTCTCGATCCGCGCCATTTCTAGGGGTGAGGAAAGACCTAATCACAGCCTGAGGTCCGACGGAGCCCACCTTGGCTGTGAGAGATCCAACAGCCTTGTTGACGACATTGTTGGCATTCCCGCCTTGAGGCAACTCGCGCGGAACCACTTCAAGTTCCTGCTTGTCGAAATCATGACGGTGCCCCACTCCATTTATAGCTGCATATACGAGATGAAGAGGCTCTGGCTCGAATCGAACTGCGTAACGGATTTGGGCGGCCAAGTTTTGACCCTGTTGCTTCTCGACTTTGCCTTTGACACCAAAGACAGCCATCTGCCATTCAACATTACTGTTATATTCTTTTGCGCCTCTTGTCTTTAAGTAGTATAATATAAAATAAAGCTAGGTTTATTATATATAATTATAGCTAAGATGAGAGAGATTCGGTTTTCATCCGTGAACCATCCCAAATGGAGTTTGCCAGTGTTTTCTTTGGACTGGGATGCGATTGAGGAGGCGAGTGGCGTGAGCAACGATGTAGGGCCAAAGCCTTTGCGGCAGATTTCCCTGTATTCGTAGCTTACGAGCGATAGTCGTGATCACCGTTCTGATCTGGCGTGTCCGGCGGCGGTGGATTGAAAGTGATTCCCTTTATTATGACAAAGTCCTTCCACTTCTTTCCTAAACCCTTCTCGCCGTCTGATTGTATGTATCGCGTAGTAAAACCCCAGTTGTCATTTTTGATGGCAAGGAACTCCTGAGTCACGGAAAGGATCTCTTCTTGAGTTTTATTTGGAAGATTGAATGGTACATGGTAGGCAGAATAATCGCAGTAGAAGTGAGCGACGCAGGAGTCAGCGTTAAATGCTTCATCTAAGTCGATACGATCAAGATGTATCTTTTTGAAAGGATAAGTTCTCCTCCATGTTGGTACGCGTGAGATTTACTAATGCGCTTGTCTGAGCTGACACTGCGGACAGAGTTCTGATTCTTGTTTAAAGACGCGAGTGCTAAGTCCGACACCATGGACTGCCTGAGGAATATGTTTAAGTGTCTCTTTTCGGATGTGGCCTAGTCGTGCATGCCAAATATCCATAGAAGCTATGGCTACTTGAGGCATTCTAGATTTGGTAGCCATTGCAAAGGATTGCGATGCAGTTTCATGAGATTCCGCCTTGAACACCGAAGTCATGATATGAGGTTCTACCACTCGAAAAGCACCGTGTTTGGTTACTTTAAAAGCATTTGATCTATCAGAATACTCTATCCAACAGGTTCTGGTGTTGAAGTAAAGCCCTTGTTGCTCGAGAGAATGCGTATTAATGAGGTTCCAGTGGAATGCAGGACGTGAGCGACGTTCTCGAGTTGAATTAGACTCGGGCCTGATGGAGTGAGGACATGTACGCTTACGCCGCCCGTGCCTGTTATGTACGTGCCTGAGTTGCCAAACTGTATGGTCCCGTTATAGAGAGGCTTGTATTCAGTGAAGCGAGACCACTCGTTACAGACATGTGTATCTGCACAATTATCGAGCCGGAAATAGTCTTGATACTCGTCATTTTTGCTTGTGCTGAACGCGAACTTGTGTGTTGCAAATGCAGCTCTTGATTTACCCTGCCTTGTGGAGACATGTGATGTCAAATTCGATAGCAGCTTCGAAAGCCTCCAAAGCTTCATAAGTCCCCAAAGCTTCAAAAGCCTCCAAAGCTTCAAAAGCCTCGAATTCGATAGCAGCTTCAACGAGCCCAAATTTAATAGCAGCCTCAAAAGCCTCGAAAGCTTAAAAATCCTCGAAAGCTTTGAAAACTTCAAATTCGATAGCAGCTTCCAAAGCCTCGAAAGCCTCAAAGCCTCGAATTCAGCAGCCCCAAAAGCCTCAAATTTGACCCGCCTGGCTCACCGCTTTGCTTACACTTACAATAAGTTAATTTTAAGTTACTACTAGAAACTAAAACCCTATTTATTAACTTACTTTTATACTTTATAATACATTTTTAGTTTATTTTAAATTCTAATATATTTAACTTATAATATAAGTTCAAGTTCATTCCAAGTACCACAAGATATTACGTAGTATCTACTAATATATTATCTAATATATAATACCTTAATACTAGATTATTAACCATATATAAGTAAAAAACTAAAAAAGTATAAATATTTACTTTATCTCCTAGAATGATGAATATTATTCTCTAAGATCTTATATAACTAGTACTATTAATTTTAATCTAGTATATAATTTTATATTTTTCGCGCTACCTTACAAATCTTAATCTATCCAGTCAAAAATATGATCACAAACTTGCTTATTCTTGCAACTGCCGCTCTAGGCGCCGTCGTTCAATACAGCGACGCTCGATATAACGGAATTCAATACAACACCGCTCAATATATTGATGATCCAACAGTAGGCTATCTTACCCTTCTAAAGGATAGCGTTGGTCTCACATAACGCAGGCTTATATCTATCTCGATCATGGTTGTCATAAGCCGGAAGCAGGTATCGTTATCCAGACAACTTGTCGCTCGCTAAATTCAGATAAGAAGCTTAGTGGCCGGTAAGCTAATAGAAACCCTTGTAAAGTAATTAACCCTTTTTATTTTATTTTACTAATAAAGGTAAATTCAGCATATATAATGGAATTCAGATTCCTGAGGGAGGGTATTGCGTGCTATATAGGTAGGTCCTTTGCTTCACGCTTGGTAGTGATATTATTAATACCGCCTAGTGATGAACTATGTAAGACGAAGATAGGCGACATGACCGAAACCGACTGTTCAGCTATACCGAAGCAAGCCCACTCTATAATATGCTCCTAGAAAGGCCAAGAAGAGTAATACATCTTAATATAAGGTGCGATTCTGGCCGGAACCGAAGGGAGTAGTCAAAAAACCTTGCGATTTACAAGTAGTAAGTGGTGGATCTTCTAGAAGGCCTTAGTACAGGTTTTTCTCCCCTTTTATTAGGGGTTTTCCCTGTGCTATTATGCAAATGCAAAGGTTTTATTTTTGTATTAGGGTATATATTTTTTAACTCAGAATAATATTACATAAATAATATTATATCCTTTAAAAAAGTAAAATAAATCTGGCTGTATAATATTTAGGGTTATAAGTACTCTACTAAATCCACGCGTAAATCCACAAAAATTAATATAGAAGAAACTTGCGTCTTCTTATAACTTGTTATCTTAGCAGGTACAAGGCAAATAAATCCAATAAAAAGTAGTTAATTACTATACAAGCCGAACTATTTTGCTATAAAGGCCGTTTTAGTAGGGCTATATGTAGCTAATATTTTAAGTTCGGTAGTAATATATTCTAATAAGTAGCAGAAATATTTATATATATATAAATATCTGCCATTCAATATTAGCCGCTGGCTTACATATTTCGCCAAGACAAGACGCCTGCAAGGCTGAAAAGTTTCCTTACTTGATCTTCCCAAGTCGCAGCATCGTCTATCAAGGAACGGGAATCCCAGATAAGCTGGCACTCATCCCATAATACCTTGTTCATACCGTCCCGTAGAACTGCTCGTAGCGCGGTTTCTTTGGCATCTGAAAAAGGTAGCGGTTGACATTGACGGGGGCGAATAATGTGCCCTGACATGGCGCGATGGAGTGAACAGAGAGACAACCACGTCGCATGTAGGAGGTGATTTGTTTGAATGACAGTTCTTTAGGATACTTGTTGGAGCATTGACAGTGCGGCGTGGCTGGGAGATGCTGTCAAGTTTCTGCTGGCATATGGCCCGTGCCGCAGGCGTGAGCCAGCACAGACTGGCATCAATCCATCCATCGCTCCCAACTTGCCCAACACCAACATTGAACCATCTCGTCTCTTGCCACGTCATCGGAAATGGATAAGATCAAAGAGTTCCTCCGAGTCAACAAGTCCATCAAATACATCCGCATCCAATGGATAGACTACTCTGGCGTGCTGCGCGCACGCTTCGTCCCCGTCGCTCGCTGCCTGCGAATCGCCAACGGCAGCGAAACCATCCGTCTCGCCCAGAACAGCATGATCATACCCATCTCCACCGCCCCCAGAATCTTCTCCCTCAGCGACTACCACGAAACTTGGTTCTTGCGCCCCGATTGGTCCTCCCTACGTGTTTGTGGCTTTCAGACCGGCCACGCGGCCGCCATGAGCTTCGTCGACCAAAAGGATGCCGAGACCAGACTCGACAAGTGTCCACGCATGCTGCTTATCCAGGCTCTTGAACGGCTTGACAAGGAATGGGGTGTCAAGGTGCTAGTAGGCTTTGAGATTGAGTTTGTGCTCTTAGATGGAGATGGCTCAAATGACGTTGTGAAGCCCCTGGATCGACTGAATGGATACTCTAGAACAGCTGGATTGCGCGCCGAAACGTTGGATCTAGTGGAAGAGATTATCGACGCTCTCGAGCAGTCTTCCATTAGCATTCACCACTTCCATGCAGAAGTTCAGGATCAGCTAGAGATTGCTCTTACCCCTGAACCCGCGTTACAAGCCGTTGATTCCCTTGTTTTAGCACAGGAAACTATTCGGGCGATATGCGTACGTCGGAATCTCAAGGCGACCATGACCCCGAAACCAACACTGGCTGGACCATCAAACGGCCTACACCTCCATCTCTCCCTTGTCAACGTCAACGTGGAACACGTGTCGGCAGATCATTTTATCGCCGGCGTCCTTGACCACATGGGCTCGCTGTGTGCTTTTGGAATGGCAAATTATGATGGCTACGCCCGTTCCGTTGGCGATGCTGCGGGCGCATGGGTTGGATTTGGCACCGATAACCGTGACTTGCCGGTTCGCAAGATCAGCGACTGGCATTGGGAGTTCCGCATGATGGACGGCACTGCAAATCCCTATCTATTCGCCGCGGCTGTTTTGCTTGCTGCTCTAGATGGGCTTGCAAAGAAGACGGAGTTGGTTTGGAAGGATTGCAAGCTCTTCCCACATTTGATGAACGAGAAAATGCGGGTTGAATACGGAATCAATAACAGCATGCCAGTCACGTTTAAAGAGGCGTTGGATTGTTTAAAGGAGGATGCTGTTGTAAATGCTTGGATTGCAAAGGACTTGCTGGAGTGGTACATCTCCGTCAAGGAGAAAGAGGTGGAGGTTTTTGGGGAAATGACCGATGAGCAGAGACGGCTTCGATTCTTGGAGTACTTTTGAGGCATATCTTGAGATGACAGTCATCGGATGGCGAGGGGGGACATACATTCGCGGCTGGAGTGTTTGCTGCTGCCAAGGGCTGTGTATTCTCTTTGCTTCCGTACTAATAGTCCAGCTTGGCTGCTTTCGCAAGGGCCTTGCAGCTGGTTAAAAAGCCCCAGCATCGGGCACAGTTGAACTCGTACGTTGCCTTTGCATACGGCAGGCTATCTGTTCCACAACCGTCCTTCAACATAATGGTGTCGAAGCCTTGAGCGTGGGCGTCTTGTAGAGTAGAGCCGACGCACTGATCTGTGTTGACACCCGAAAATAGGAGGGTACGGATTCCTTTCTCCCTCAGATACTCGCCTAAAGCAGACTTGTCGTTCCAGAGACCAGAGTTGCGATTCTTGTGAATCCAGACGTCTGGACGGGCCGCTTTCTTGCCCTCCTCATACGCGCCAGCCAAGGGTCCATGCAGGGCCGTGTTCCATGTTCCCCTCATCATGACCCGGCCAGCATTGACCCGACTGCCATCCTCGAGTACAATTTCTCCTAGGTCCGTGCCTGGCAATTTGGTGAGATTCGGCCGTTCGCCGCACTTGAGAAAGTTTGCGGGGTCGTTGGGGTCGCCATGTTGGTCTCCAAGGCCGTAGTCGACCTTTTCCGTGTTGACATCAAAGGCAAACACGCGAACTTCGGCCGGTGGCATGGTGGCGAGATCATCTTCAGTCAGGCCCCAATTAAGCCAGATAATCTGGAGACCAAGCTTGCGCGCAGCCGGTATGGCGTATTGGAGGATCGCGTCCTGGGCGTCATACATGGGGGCAGCGGACGGGGGATTGAGTGCTTTATGTAAGCCCATGTTCTGCATATCGATGATGACCAACGCCGTCTTGATTGGGTCGATTTTAATGTTGACCAGTTCACAATCAAGGTAGACGCCGTTGTCTGCCAAGTTGGATGTTGGGTCTGCCGGGTGCGTCAGGTCCCAGCCACCAGGAGACCAAATCCAAGTATTTCCCTCTGTTCCAACGAGAACCTTGGCATTCTCAGTGGAATCCTTGGTCAACATGGTGGCCATTGTCATTGTTGAGAGTATTGAGGCGTGACTGGGGTCCAAGGCTGAAGTATTCGTTGATGCATGATGGGGATTGACTTAACTTCTGCCACACATCGCGAGGAGAACAGAGGCAATTCCGCTTAGTAAGAGGCACATGTTGTCTGTGCAGACCCTTGGGCCAATTCGTCGAATTTTGCCCACGTAGGTGCTTTGTACCCTGAGGTCACGTAGCATTGCAGCACGGACCGACCCTCGATCCTGACGATAGGTGACAAAGGCTCGAGACCTAGTTGAGGACTCGGGTCTTCAGGTTCGTAGGCTCACCGCTGCTTTGTACATATCAAGTTCATCTGCCCCGAGGGCCTTGAGGAAAACCAAGGACCTTTGACACCAAACGAGTTATGGCTGAAAGTCCACGTTGCTCCAAGTCCTGTAACTGAGCCCTCGAAAAGAAATGTCTCGAAGCAATCAGTCAGTGGTAGCTCTTGCTGCTCTCTTCTTCATGATCAGGAGGTTGTGGCAGCTCCAAGTGCGTATTTGAACCGTTCTCCAGCCAAGTCCTTCAAGAAAGAGACGGGATTAACATGGTTGATCAATCAGTTAAGGGTCTGATCCAAATCAAGTTGCTGAATGCCAGCCGACTGAAAGAGAGACTTGCACCGGCCAATTTGAGGGAAGACTTTTCCCAACTAGCGACTTGTCGACAACATTTTGGCAGAGTTGAAAATGCCGTTCGTAGCAGCTCCGCATATTGCACAGCCAGGGTCATTCTTGTAGCGCCCAAGTGCACATGGCTCACAGAACTAGTGGCCGCATCTCGTGATAATGGGCTTCTTGAAAGTCTTATCGCAAAGACTGCATATAGAGGGGAGATCCTCCGCTTTTCCGTCATGGCCACCATCCTGATCCTTGGCCATCTTTCGATCGGCGCTAGTAATAATTCTCCCACGGTATTGTTCTTTCCTTTTGTGAGTGTATCCCACTCGGTATCCAATTGCCAGCCCTGCTTGTAATCTTCCCGGGCATGCAGGAATTTGCAGCTATCTAGAAATAACGTTAGCACACAGGGAGAGTCTGGACACAAACAAGCAACTAGTAGGCAAGAGTCACCACCAAAGCCGCAGCTTCCGTACCTTTTCCAATCTTTGCACACATTCGGGTCGTAGGCTTGTATAATAGTAGACCGGATATTAGAAGCGGCCCTTTGGACAGGGCCAATTCTTTGAGAGGCAACGTCTGCCTTTGGCTTGTATGGAGGGCTTTTTGGAATCAGATTGGACACCTCACTGGACACTTTTTCCTGCCGCACTGCTGAAGAAGTTGTGGCAAAGAGATCCTGGTCCGCTATCCTGTCGTCCTTTACTGAAGCGGATACAGCGATATCTTTCCTTCTTCGCTTGATGGATTTGCTGGCTGCACTATCGGACATGGAATCGTCGATTCTCTCGTAGTCGTTCTGACACTGCTTCTCGCACCGGGTCGTCTGCTCTTGAGCCGGACAGGTTGGGTATAAAGTGATGTTGGCACTGTAATCGACCGCTCCTCTGCTCCGGCCATGTTGCGTAAAATGACCAGGTCGAATAAGTTTTGGTAGAATTACGCATGTACCGAGAGGTGGAAGTTGGAAGGCTTAGTAAGAAAACGCCGGCTTTAGGCGCGCGAGCAAGTGGCAACCAAACTTGACTTGACTTGTTGCCAGGAGTGTGACCAAACAGATCCCCTAGTCACAGCCGCGGCCGAAAGTCAAATGTCATTCGTGAAGGCTGGCTGTGTGATGTAGTGAGAAAAGCCGTATTGGCGAATTTTTTCTTTCGCGCAAGTATACGGGATGGATGACGGAATTTGCGAAAAGTGTCGTGTCTCCATGAAACCTGGATTCCATCGATTAGGTGCTGTGGGCATGAGCTCCCTACACAAGTATCTATTCTGTTCATGTCCGGATCATGCCTATATGCAGTACTTGTCATCATACAAGTCTCTCAATGACATCAGCTTTTACATATACAAGACAAAGAACGTCGCAAGCCACCAACATGGTGGCATGTCTAGGCGCGGGATAAAATCACATGGCATCCTTGTCGCATGAAAGATGGTTCGGCAACAAAGATCGTCAGTGATGCGAGCAGTCAGATTCACGATGCACATGTCATCAACACATGTAGCTAAGCCACGGCCGCATTCATACCACCGGACTTTTCGCGGAACGTGGCGTTGACGGGCCAGGGGCCGGGACAGCTCGACATAGGAACTGTGGGATGACTGCTGCATAAGCGGACGAGCCGACGCGGTCCGGTGCCGCACCAAACGTACCGATGGTATGGATGAATTGATCCATTTCTTGCGCGGTGCTCAGGATGGCCAGTCGTCCAGCAAGCCACGTTCTTGGTGGCGTACAGCAATGCTCCGGCCAATGCAAATCCCGTCGGGGAGCGGCGCTCGACAAGCTTCATGGTAGGAATTAGACTGTAAACGCGGCAAGTCGGGCTGCTTGTAAGCCTTCCGTCGCACCAGACGTAAAGACCACTTGACGTAATAACTACAAGTCCACGCATCGTAATGCGTCAGACACTAGTAAAGTTGGTGATTCGTGGCGGCGCTTAATCTCGCGATGGCCTCAGCCACGGACTGCGTGGAAGCAAACTCAAACCTACATGTAGTTCCAAAGAGCTCTTATAAATACGAGTAGTCGTTCCTTACCCCTGCGTGTTTTTCTTACCATCAACACAAATTTGCCACTTTTCGACCTTGAATCTTTGCTCTCTCTCTGCACTGCAGTCGTCTAGAAGCTTGGTCTCGCAGCGCGCCGTCATGGATGAAACACACCCTGATCCGCTCGATCCCATGACTTATACGACGCAAAGACTCCCCTTCCGTGATAATACGTTGGATAATGCGCAGTTGACGACACGGTGTCCGCTTGACAATGGGCGACACACCGACGCGTCCATCCCCGCGAGGCATTCCGTCGGCCAACTCGACCAGCTTCCAGCAGAGCTGCTCATCCAGGTTCTGCTATGTACCGACATCCCGTCGCTAACAGCTTTCCGCCGTGTCAACCGCCGCGCCATGGAGCTGGTCGACTCGGTACCCGAGTACGCCGCCATCATCAAGCATTGCCCCGACATCATCCGCGCCATACTCGCCGTCGAGGCAGATGCATTTGACTGCCGTGTACTATACAGAACCCTGAGCACAAGCCGATGCTCCACGTGTTCGCATTTTGGCGACTTCCTCTACCTTGTTGACTGCCGCCGAGTCTGCTACTTCTGCTTCACCGAGCGGCTAGAATACTTTCCTCTCACAATCGGCCGCGCATCACGCTTGCTCACCCCCGACCCGACACGGCCGCGCGTCACTCGTCGCCAGTTACTGCGTGAGGCAAACCCCCCTAGTATTCTGAGTTTACCTGGGCGGTACTGTGCCTCCTGGAACGGTGACGGGGGCAAATTGGCGCGGAATCGGCTTCAACTTTTTGACCGGCGAGCATTGATTCAGGACCTGGAGGGTTCTGGTCTTCCAAATGACGACAAATTTGACAGGGAACCTCTGCGGTTCATGGCCATCATTACCGCACCGTACTTGTTCGATTCTGGTCGGCAGGCCGATTGGGGATACTTCTGCCTTGGCTGCGGTGAGGAGTCTGATGATGAGGAAACGACGGATGTCAGGATGAAATACCTGAGAGAGGAGGTTTTGGAGCACATGGTGAGGTATGGACCGGTGAGGGAGGTGCCAGATGAGTGGGACACGTTCATGCATGTCAAGCAAATCTGATGGGGAAGTCAAGTTCTCCCTGAATGTCTCGACCACTATTTGCAGACAACTGATTAGCTCTCCCCTGGGTCATTTGCAGTGGCCGTCAGCTCATCTCGTGGGCGTCTCGTTTGGCGGCTCTCTGGCGGCAGGGCCCTCGCTTGTGGTCTTGGGCGGGCTGGATGGTGTGTGCACCAGGGAGCAGCTTGAACAGCTGGCGTTGCGAGTAGTGCTGTTGTTCTGGGTATTGGGCGCGCCGTGGTGAGGAAGACGGCGTCGGAAGTTGCTGGCTTCATCGGCGATGTCTGGGCGAGGGTAGAATACTAGAAACAGCGCAATCACATGCGAGCTCGAAATCTACAACTCCAAGAGTGGGGGTCAAGTGGGGGGCCGACTAATTTAATTAGCCTGGACAAACCAGGTCTTGGAATCGAGATCTTGCACATCAATGACGTATCTGCCACAACCAAGATCCGATGGTCCGTGGACCGCTTGGAGCGTTCACGCGCTGAAGAACAATCATGGCCGCTTTCTTGCAACATGGAGCCCGAAACAGCTCGTGTGTGACGTATGCGCAACAATGGCATACTCTGCCATGCTTTTGTTCTCGAGTCCTTGACCGTCATGGGCCATACTGCGGCTCCGTCCTTGATACAAGACAATCTGTTTAAAAAAACACGAGGCCAACCATTTTTTCTCCCTCAGCTTCAACTTGTTGTCGGCTTGGAATCTGCCTGAGCACCTTGGCTGGCCTCTTCTCACACATTTACAGCCTGTCGCTTACAGAAGCAACATTATACGCCGAAAAGAAACACCAGGCATCAGATACAATTCCGTTTCGCGGCCGTCACAATGAAGGCGACCACGTTTCACTCCCTGACTTCCGTTGCGCTTGGCGTCGGGGCCATGCAGCTTCAGACTCCCCTCTACTCGTCATATTCTTTCAACCCCCTCCAGCATCTCGCAGGAATCGCTCCCTATTATGAACCGGCAGATCCTCCGCGAGACCCAAATCCTCCCCAAGGCTGCACGGTAACTCGAGCGGCCTACCTTGTACGGCACGCAGCCATCAATGCAAACGATTTCGACTACGAGCAGTACCTGCAGCCCTTTCTCTACAAGCTAGGCAACGCGACAGTCGACTGGGCCAAAATACCCCAGCTCTCTTTCTTGGCCGCCTGGGAGCCTCCGTCCTTTAGCGAACAGGAGCTGTTGACCAGGACCGGCAAGGTTGAGGCCGGCCAACTCGGGCTCTCCATCTCATACCGGTATCCGAAGCTCAAGTTGCCCCAGAGGGTGTGGACTTCGACCGCAGAGCGCACGGTACAGAGCGCCAGGGGCTTCGTCCGAGGTCTGGAGATGGACGACAACACCATCAACCTGGTTGAGATCCCAGAGGGCAAGGAGGACGGAGCGGACAGTCTGACCCCGTACAAGAGCTGCAAGGGCTACACCGCCGCCGCAGGAGCAGAGCAACAGGGCAAATACGTCGATTTGTACACGGCGCCCATCATCGCACGGCTGAAGAGCCTGGCCCCAGGCTTCAACTTCACGTCCGACGACGTCACGGCCATGCAGGCCATGTGCGGCTACGACACCGTCATCCGCGGGTCCTCGCCCTTTTGCTCGACCGACCTCTTCTCCCCCGACGAGTGGCTGCAGTTCGAGTACGGCCAGGACATCCAGTACCACTACAACACTGGCTACGGCAGCCCCTACGCCGGCGCCATCGGCTTCCCGTGGGTCAACGCGACGATGAACCTCCTGGCGGCCGATACTTCGGCCCAAGACATGTACGTCTCCTTCACGCACCGCGAGCTTCCGCCCGCGGCCCTCGTCGCCATGGGCCTGTTCAACAACAGCCTCTTCTCTGGCGGCAACGACGTCAACGCCACCATGCCCCTGGACCAGATCAACTACAATCGCGCCTGGGTCTCGAGCCGCATCCTCCCGTTCCTGACCAACATTGCCATTGAGCGTATGAACTGCAGCGCGAACCATGCCGTCGCCGCCGCCCAGGGCAGGAACATGAGCTCGTCTCCCTCTGCGACGACATACTACCGCGTCCTGCTCAACCGGAGCCCGCAGGTGCTGCCGGGCTGTTTTGACGGACCGGGGCAGAGCTGCTCGGCCAAGGTGCTGCCGGCGTTTCTGCAGCAGCGCGCAGACATGTTTCGGAATTATTCTGCTGTTTGTGGCAACACGTACAAGAATTCGACTGATGCGGTGACATTCTATACCAATTCGAATAACGGGACTGTCGTGGGCAAGAAGAGACACTTGATGTGGTAGTGCTGTGTATTATAGAGTAGACTAGGCAGTCGTGCCTCATTGCAGAATTGGGAATCGATAAACAAGCGCAGATAGTTTCCTGTTGAGATAAATAAAACATATTAGCATACTATTACAGGCAGAGGCCGCCTAACTCTTTTGAGTCGCCGTCTTATTTCTGGCAAATCTCCCCTCACCAATACTGGAGTCCTGGACTAACCGTCAACCACCTAGAGTCGATGCCTCGGCTCCGGCCCGGTCGCGTTATTCCCCCGGCTCCGTTTCTCGACTACCGGCCGTCGGTGGGTGAATTTCTCGGCGGGCTTACTCTTTTTGCTAGGTGTGCTTACGCTTTTTAGTAGGTAAGTATTTATTATATTAAACTTTTTTATATATTTTTAAGAAATAATTTATAATAAAATATATTATAATATATTATAATATAGCTTAATATTTAGGTACCTGGTAGTATATAAGCGCACCTAGCAAAAAGAGTGAGCCCGCCGAGCAATTCATATCGGTGGCACGCGGCTGCTCCAATCGGAGACAAATCTGGGGACATGGAATGATACCCCAACCCATCCGCTTCGTACCTCCGTGTCCGACGGCCAGAATCTAGACTAGCCGCCGCTCGGGAGTAAACGACCACCGAACAAGCCATCCAATCTGATCAACTTCAAAATGATATAAAAACAGCAGCATCTGCTCCTCCGCCCCCCCGGAGCCATCGTCATTTCGGGCTCGGCCACATCCAGAAACAAGGGCAAATCAACATGTCGCCGACAGCACCAGAACCACTCTCCCTCGCCGGCAAGCTAGACCTCATCCCCGGCGTGCTCTCCCTCCTCGCAGCCGGCCTCGTAGCCGCCATCACGGGGCTCTGGCGAACGCACAGAGACGCGCCCACGTACCACCTCCACGTGGCGTATGCGCTCCTTCGCAAAAGCGCAGAGCGCTACTCGCTGGCTCAGCTGCAGTGGGCACTCCCGTCCACCGACCAAGTATACGAACAGTACGCGCGGTCAGCGGGATTCAAGCCCCAGACGGTGTCCTTGGGCCACGGCGCCAAGGGACACTGGGTGGGGGATAAACATGCCAAAAACGTGCTGATTTGGTACCACGGTATGTTGCAAACTTGTCAGTGAAGCCTTCTGTTGTCTAATGTACACATGTACACCAGGGGGCGGGTTCGGCATGCCTGCGAACGTGGCCTTTTTCGAGTTCTGGGAGAAGCTAGTCGTGTCCGCGCGCACCAGGGACAAGGACCTGGCCGTCTTTGCGCTGTCGTACACGCTCTCGCCGCACGCGAGGTATCCGACGCAGCTGACCCAGGCTGTCGAGGCGCTGCGGTACATTGTGTCCCAGGGGCGCCGGCCCGGGTCTATTCTGCTCGGGGGGGATTCGGCCGGCGCGAGTCTGGGGATGGGCGTGCTTTCGCACCTGGCGCACCCGCACCCGGCGATTCAGGAGTTGAAGCTGCGTGAGCCGCTGGCCGGGACGGTCCTCATGGCGCCTCCTGCGTCGATGGATGAGAAGGTCGCCGAGGGGCGGGACGTGTACTGCGGCGGCGACGTTTTGGTGCCGGACGTGGCGATTCGGTGGCTGCACTTGTATCTTGGTGGTGCGAAGCGGGATTACTACACGGACCCGTATGATGCGCCGCCGAGCTGGTTCGAGACGCTGCCTGTGAAGAAGATTCTGGTCCTGGGGGGCGGGAATGAGGTGTTGAGGCCGATTATAGAGGCTTTTGTGGAAAAGGTCAAGGTGAGTCGGTCGTTTCTTGTATTGCGAGTTTGAACGTGTCGTGACTGATGGGTTTAGCCGGCTTTTCCTGCTATTGAGTTGTTCATCGGTAGGCGGGAAGCCCACGTGGCTCCTGTTTATAATATCTTTGTTGGGGATAGGAAGGAGACGGAGCAGGGTCGGCGGTTGAAAGACTGGCTCGCTGGTGTTCTGTAGATGGCAGGGTTTTGTTGTTGAGTATGCGACATGGTCTTGCCTGACGTTGTGAATATTTCACGTCTTACCCATGCATCAAGTCGTGTACATAACATTCGCCCTTGAAGAAGGAGCCGGTCATTAATACTCTAGGCAACTTTGTACCACACCATTCAACCATCATGAGAACAATCTGTTCCATCCAAGCAAGCTCTTGATCCCAGTGAAATGCACCAGACAAATGCATTTTTATGCCCACCTCTGCCTCCTCCCCGACGTAGAAACCTTCCTGGTCAACTGTGGTCATGTCCATATTATCCAACAGGGTGCACCGAGTAACCTCGTCTTAGGCTAGCAAGGAACTGTCCCTTCACCAGGACATTTCTCGAAGTCGATAAGACCCTTTTTGCTTCCAAGCGGTTGGGGTTCTTGTTGCTCTCAGCAAGAAGCAATTCCTGTAGTTGCGTTCATGACTTAAATTTTCTCCTTTCATTTCTTTTTCATCTTGTTCAAGTATTCTCACAACAGCCTCATGGCCTCTTTCAACGGCAAGCTGTGCTGGTGTTTTGTTCAAATAGTCCCTAGCCTCCTTATTAGCGCCTGCCTCGCCGACAAGATACCACACGATGGCTTCATCCCCTTCCCAAGCGGCTAAGTGTAGCGGCGTTTGTTGATTACGGTCTTGAGCCTCTATATCAGCACCCGCCTCGATAAAATACCGCACGATGGCCTCATTTCTGCCTTTCGTGGCCCAGTGTAGCGGCGTTTGTTGTGTATAGTCTCTAGCCTGTAGATCAGCACCCGCCTCACCGACGAGATAGCGCACGATGGCTTCATGGTCTTCAAACGCGGCCAAGTATAGCGGTGTTTGTTGTTCACAGTCTTTAGCCTCTATATCAACACCCGCCTCACCAACGAAATAACGCAAGGTGGCTTCATTCCCTTCATAAGCGGCCCAGTGTAGCGGCGTACGATTAAAGCCATCTCTAGCCTCCTTATTAGCGCCTGCCTCACCAACGAGATAGCGCACGACGGCCTCATTGCCATATGCAGCAGCTGGATGTAGCGGCGTGCGGCCATCCTTATCTTTAGCCTCCTTATTAGCGCCCGCCTCGCCAACGAGATAGCGTACGATGGTCTCTTGCCCTTCGTTAACGGCCAAGTGCAGCGTCGTATCGCCCTGGTAGTTCATACATGTAGCGTCTTTATTAAAAGGCGCCTCATTTACGAGATAGCGCACAATGGCCTCGTGCCCACGCATGACGGCGTAGTGTATCGGCTTGCATCCATCGCTGTCAAAGGTGTCCATGTCGGCATTAGTCTGCTTGTCGGGACACGGAACAAGCAAGCGTACTACATTCTCCTGTCCAGCTATTGCTGCTAGGTGCAGGGCAGTTCGGCCTATCTATCTCGCAGCTTTTTATTTGAGTCTTCGTACAGATATTTGACGATGGCTTCGTGGCCCTTGAATGCGGCCCAGTGTAGCGCCGTATTTCCCGAAGCGTCCTGGATATCAAGAGCTGCTCCTGCCCGAATAAGTAGTTGCACCGTTTCAATACTTCCATTCATTGCGGCCAAGTGCAGCGGAGCTACTCCATCTAAGCCTTGGGCGTTCACTTGTGGTCGCCCCTCGTCAAGGAGATACTGCACAACTCTGGAATGACTACAAGCATTACAGGCGTAGTGTAATGGGGTCCAGTCGAGGAGATCTCGCGCATCAACATCCGGATGAAACTCCAACAAAGAGCTGGTATCATCCAAAGAACCTTTGACTGCAGCGTAATGGAGGGGCGTACACCCGTGAATGTCTTTTCGATCTAGGTATCGAACTGCCAACTCCCGACTTAAAATATGATCTCTATCCTCCTGACACATTTGATGTAACGGCGTGCAATTGAACGTTTCTGGGTGACTGGTGTGTCCCTCTATCGTAGGCTCAGCATCCTGTAAAATATCGCATTCCCATTGGCGACTCTGTTTTTTGTACAAGCTCATGAGGCCTGATAGTAATGTCCGATCAACTCTTTTCAACTCATTTTCCATGTTCGACTTAGCCGCTCTAATCAGATAGAGTTTCGTTTCCGGGTAACATTGGGCCTCCCTTAATTTAGAAGTGAGGGTGACCATCCTTAAATTCTCCATTAATATGGCTGTAGCTTTTACAAAGATGCTACTCTTCCTTGGAAATGTATTTGCCGTTCTAAAGAGCCACAAATATATGTTGCTAGCCTCTGCAAAATCCTGGAGTCGTTCGTGTGGCTTGGCATGTTTCCGCGCCAGTGCAATAACGTTATCGGGTTCGGGAAGCTTCTGTTCGGTGCTTAGGGGTTGAATAATGCTTAGATAGGTCTGATGAATATTGCCAAGTCCACAATTATGGATATCCTGGGCCATTTTTGACAGCCGATCGTTATGAAGTGTGAAGCATTTCCAGGCATCCATGTTGCTAGAGTCTTTAGGTCGCACGTTAGAACCGCCCTCGATGGCGCGCGCCATTTTCTCTGCCACAGATTGCATGAATTCCGTGAACATGTCTTGCGCGTAGAGTAGCTCTAAGGAGTCATACGTCTCCGACGCCAAGAGCGCACTCTCGTCAATTTTGCAATGATATGTATCGTCCGGGCTAAGGCTGGCTTCCGTGCCATCGTACCGAGCTACACGAATACTCTGCTGCCCACCATAGCCAACAATTCTATGGTTTTCAACCTTCATCGTACCGTTCTCATCTTCTTTAATTTCCAAGATTCTTGCTGTATCAGGAGGCATCCACCATGCGAGATCCCGCCGAAGGGCCCGCGTCCCTGGACCTAGAAGGCGCAAACCTCGCTCTGCAGGCATCTCTGTAGCGTGCAACCGGGCATTATACTTGCGACGCTGTGTTTGGGCAGATTTTGGCTGATCTTCAGATTGTCGCTTTTGCGAGTAGACGTAATATAACCGTAAAGATAGCACTGCTTCGATGTCCTTCCGAATTGTGTCTACGGTTACGTCTCGCGTCCAACAAAACTTGGGTGGCTTGTCCTCGTGCCCTGCTGAAAGGGCTCCAAGGGACCAGGTGAAGTCACTTTCAGGATGAAGATAACTAGATAGAGCATCCATTGTGATCTTGATCGCCCGTGCAAGGGTCAGAGCCTCTGCGGATGCTGGCCCCTGCCAGCCAGTGAGCCCACAAAGTGTTCTCCTCGTTACCATCACATTATGTGTTGTTGGGTTGCATCCGCTATTCTTCATCGAGTTGAAACCTGCTCGGGCCGTCTGTCCTTGTTCTCTGTATTCCTTAGGATTTCGATCAGGTTGCCAGGGTATTCCATCAAAATCTCCTAGTGCCATCGCGAGCCATTCAAGCTCATGTTCTGGAGTCAGACGGACCCGTTGAAGAGGCTGCGCGAGTCCCCGACGAACCCACGCCCTAAGAACGGCCATCGCGATGACTGCGCCGAGTTGAGCAACTGAGGCGGACCAATGCATTCCACGCAAGCCAATAAATTGCACCACAAACCCGCAGAGGCTGACCGCGGTGCCAACAATAGTTTTCAGCTCCAAATGAATAGCTTGGCTTTTTTTGTTCACCCGGCAGGACGTAGTAATAAGAGTCTGATCGTCCCCAGCCGATAATGCAAAAGACTGGAAAGACTGGTCGCCAACAGTTTGGGCCTGTTGTAGCCATACCAACCGAGCTTTTGTCTCTTTGGACGGCTGATATCTTTTCTCTTCGGTGCTGCTCTCCACAACATGCGCACACAATAGTAGGCCAGCCACCAATGTAATTATGCCAGTAGCAGTGCAAGGAAACGCATAATTTGCAACTGCATCGTCGCCCTTGGTAAACTTTAGCGCCGGATGGTAGGTGGCAAATCCAAAATAGGTCAGGACACCTAGCTGAAGGATCGTCCCAAAGACGGCCACAGCGCGTAATTCCCTACGGCTAAAGTAGCCATGGGAATTAAGAGAGATATTTGGCGCATCAATAGCTTGATTCCAAACAATGGTAAGCTTAGGAACCGGTATGGTAACGGATGTCTGTGAATTTGCCCCTTTCTCTACCTTCGAGCTGGCCGACTCGCGGTTGCAACCGATACTATGCAATATAGTCTCCCAAAAACTAGCCCCGTCATTCGATGCTAGAAGAAAGGTAAGTCAGGGTGCATTCTGGGCGAGAAATTTCACTCACGTAGCTCCTTCAGATACTGTTTATCAAGTGCGTCCTTCAGTTCGAGTATATCCGGAACCTGATTAGCACCATTTTCAGTGCACTTCATGTTCGCAGGTCTTAGGCATATGAATTCGGCCGTCGACGGTGACCCCATGCATCTCACCACCTCTCGGCCATTCCACAGCTCACAGACCTCATGAGAAGTAGATGACATTAATTCCGCTTCAGCAACCGCAAGGTTCTCCCTCGCTCTTCCAATAATAGCTTTGAGCCATGAAGGACCACCAACTCTAATAGCACTAGCAATAATAGTAATGATCCCTAACGGAGCCATTGCCAAAATAATACTATCAGCCCAACCAGTCGACTGGCTCATGAATTGCATAGTGACCCGTTCTCCGAAAAGAGCTAGCAGTCTGAGCGTAATAAATTGTTAGTATATCGTTAGCAAAATAAGATAAACTAGACTCATACGTACGGCGCTAGGTCGGAAAACAAATTATTAGAGAAGTCATCCCCAGAATCAGCAGCGCTTGTCGCTGCAAGCGTTATTACAACTACTAGGGCAAGCTTCCAGGCGGCCGACATCCTGTTTGTCGAAAGAAATATTGCTCAAAGCGGGTCAAGCCGCAGCGAAAGATGGCATACGAACTCAAGTGTCTTGGTTTAAAGCTGACAGGACGTTGGATACGGTTCTATCGCAGTGAACTCAAGAAAGTGGCAGGAGACAAACTTGTCAGAGCAGCTACTGAGGTCAGTAAGAGTATGGCGCGAAAAGTGTCTGGTGCCATGCCCTGCCAGGAGAACGACCTAGCCAGCTCATATCCGAGCGCTCAGCTCATATCCGACCGCGCCGTGCTACCCATTAAATTGCTGATCAACATTGTCGCTGTCATCGGCGATGATAATCTCTGACCCTATTCGACAAAGACCAAGCCACCATGTGGGAGTCTACGAGAGTTGGCATGTCGCAATATGCCCAACGTCGTACAGTTATTGAAGAAGTGTGCCCAACTTGAGAGTAACGAGGCTGTAGCTTAGAAACTGTTGCGTACCAATGAGACTGACTGGTATTTTCGGTCAAGGCGGCAGGCGATTAATATTCGAGCTGTTCGGTGCCACCACACCTCAGCTCACCCGCATTTCGCGATGAAGTTCGAGACTCGGAATCCCATTCAACCGAGACAACTCGCCTGTGGGTTGGGCTCCAAATTTAACTTCCCACTTCCTACTGGATATGTAGGACCGATGACCATATGATCCTTTGCCATGGGCGCAACCAAAGCTGCTGAATTCGAGCCTGTTGAGACTGTTGATTCAAGCCCTTCAAGCTGCTACCGCTGCCGATAAATTCAGGCCCGTTGAAGTTATTGGATTCGAGCCTTTTGGATTTGGGCATCTCAAGCCGCTGCCGCCGATAAATTCGAGCTTGTCGAAGAAATGCTACGGAGTAGATTTGAGCGTTTTGGGGGTTGCTCAGTTCGAGCCTTTGTGAGCAGGTCTTCGGAAGCACCTTCTGCCGGTCCGAGGCTCTAGCTAACGGAAGGCGGTCGCGCGGCTCTTGCAACGCTTAATAAACATTGTGATACGTACCACCTTTTATTTTTCGACTACTTGCATTGATTCCACGTCCTCTAGGCTGATTTCAGGACAAATTTCCAAGGTCTGCGGCTTGTTACTCGGGTGGTCAAGTCCTGGTGGTGACCAAGACGACTATTTGAGTCAATCAAGATGTTCCTTGATATTTGTATTCAAGGCAATCTCTCTTCCAAAGACCCGGAACCTCATGATGAAAAACATATGCACGACAGTACATCATACGGGAAAAGTAGCAAGTTGTGCCACGAGAAACGAGACAGTCGCGCTGAGATGTCTCATGGGAAAGAACCGGTTGATTCCGGTCACCGGTGTCCCCAATAATAACGACAATGCTTAGCATGTGGACAGGCACAGATGGATCATCAACATTGGTAACATCGATTGGTACAGGCCTCTGGCACGGGCGAGTTGTCATGCTCAATGCCAAAACGTTCTTCGATGCCACCGATGGTCCTGGAATTCGTCAAAGACCGACTTCGTAGTCAACATTCTTTGAGGCAGTCATTTTGACAGCTAGGACTTGGCTACAATGGGGCGGTATTAAGGTCAAGGCAAGATGGACTGCTTTCGAGAAAGGACTCTAGGTCCGTCGTGGTTAGTGGTCTATTTCAGACTGTCACAATCCACGCACATACCCGACCCTGGTGATGCATGTCAAACATGCAAGCACGGGCAGTCCCGTCGTGACTCACCAAGTTTATGTTGCAACGAAGCGGATGCTACCTGAAAAGAAAACGAACATCGCATCTTGCATCGGCAAACAACTGCCAAACTGACATGCGTCCGATGAAGATCGGAGCGGCAATCAACCTATATTTGGTCAGCCACGTCCTGGTTATGAAACAAGACGGCCAAGTGCGGTGAAAACGGTGGCACAAGTCATACTCAAACCGAGATGATCTTGTGGATGAAGTCGTTTCGCATGACCGTTTGAGTCAAACGGAAAGACCCCATAAAACAGTGGCCACAAACGAGTTCCTGTCCAACTTTCGGGTATTTATTCCGCGCTAGTACTCAAACAATGGCGTTTTCGGAGAATAGGAGGGCATCCGTTGCACAACATCGGCTAAGGGCGTCAAGAGATTCGCGGCTGGCTACAGGTTGTCTCTTCGACAGGCAACCAGCCTTCGCCGACGTCACGCAACATTGAGGCATTGTTTGCCTCAATACCACGCCGAAAGCAATGGCTCTGCAAAGCCAGTTGACTCTTCAGAGATGAAGATTTTCTATATAATTCCACATATTGACCAAATTTCTTGATTAGACAACTCAAGTTAGCATCACTCAACAGCATCACCATCTGCACACAAACAAATCAACCATTACTTTTCTCAACGGAAAAATTTTCCACTACTCAACATGCCGACCCCAATGACCAAACCAGACTCCTCCAGGATTCAGGCCTCTCAGGTATATTCCCCTAAGACATTTCATTGCAAAGTGTTCTCTAACAAAGCCATACGCAGGCCAAAAATGGCGGCGACATGTCCTCTTCTGGCTTTGCCGCCAGAGCCCAGTTCGCTGGTGATCAGCACGCGAATCAGGCGAACAATTCTGGTCATGGAGGAAACAACTCGGGTTCGGGTGCTAGTTCGGGCACCAAGCTGTGATCTGCCAAGTGGAAGCAACGGGGACAAGAGGCATTCCGTTAGTCGCTGCTAATCGTTGACTGTGGCTCGACAAGAACAGCAACGATAGTTTCAACTCTGCACGTACGAATACAACCCTATGCACCTATATATATCGTCTTTGTGATATCCGCTTTCACCTGGTGAATTGAATGGTGTTTCTTCCACAGGGAAAAGGAGGCTGTTCGGCCGTACCTGAATGAATATTTTGCTACTAGTCTCCCTTTCACCCACCCCCCATGAAACATCATCAAATAGTCGTGACGTCTTCCGTGGGTTGTGCGCTTTCCAGTCCACTCAATTAGTTATAAATTCGCTTCCATCAGTTGGAGTTCTGAGGAGCCTTCCTGCAGTCCGCTCAAATTCTGTGACGAGGCCACTTAATCCATGGATATGGAGATGATACAACGCACTATGGCGATAATTTTCCACGACTAGACCGTCATCTACATTGCACATAAACTGTACACCATGCCTTGACTGGCTGCAACACAATCTTCGTCATTGATGCAGGGCCTGTTTCAGAGTCTGGTACCGCACTTGACCTCTGGCGTCGTCGTGCCATATTCAGGACCCTGTGCGACCAGGATGAGGTTCGTCTTGATCATATCCAGGCTACTCTCCCCTTGGGTAGAGAAAAAGTCACCTCATATTAGCCTGCCCTCCTCAGGAGCCACGTCACAGCCAACCTCAAAAATGATCTCCAACCCATCCTCCTCATCCCACTGTTCTCCAACCTCTTTAAGCCCAAAGCTCTCAATCAACGTTCTGCTCGCCACGTTGTCCGGTGCCACCGTCGCCCTTAGAGTTCTCACACTGGGGTCATTTCTAGCCATGTCAATCATGATGGCAAGCGCAGCACGAGCGTGCCCTTGCCTTCGATGCTGTGGGTCGATCGAGTATCCTACTTCTACCATGCCGGTGGCATCTGGTCTGCCATGAAACCCGGCACGGCCGACGACGGTTCCATCGGAGGTTATGAGCAGACGAGTGACCCAGGCTGCGTCTTCGGGGTCTCCACGAATTTGAGCGGCGCGCATCTTCCATACTCTTGCGCATTCGGTGGCGATGTAGGATGTGAGCGGCAAGTTTGACAGGCGGCGGGCTGTTTGAAGATCACTGTTGCCGAGAGCGTCCAGGACCGGGAGAGGAAGCTGTATTAATATGCGCCCGACAGCGTTTGGGGACCGCGATGTCCAAGGTGATGGCGTGACGGTCATTGTGGTACTCTGGGGATTGAGCATGTCGGGGAGCCAGATGAACAGCGCACTTGTCCTATCGACACTCCATGCCCGATGCCCAAAACTATCAGTAAGAAGAATACATACAACGGATATGGAGGCGACCTAGGATTCGGGGATTTTAGTGTGTTGAAAGATGTGGATTGTGTTGACTGCCTCCCGGGTGCCATCGTGACTGAGCAAGGACAGATGAGTCATACCCCGTGTTCCTAGAGTCGAGAGTATTGGTTCTGGGCCGGATCCAAGTGCCGGAGAACGCTCGCCATATGATCAGAGGACCGGAATATGCCAGCCTATATATCGTTGTTGCCGCGTTCTCGAACGATTGTGGTTATTCTCTCGTTGTTCCGCCCTGTTTGGAGTCCCCAGATAGCATACTGTCATCATGCTCATTTGTTCTCCTGCACGATCAGGTGCTAGTATTTTGCACTGGATGCAGGAATTCCGACGATTAAATTAAATTGAGCGCGAGACTGGCCTGGACCGAATTCGTCCATAAAGGAATTGAGGCCCAGGCTCGACGGCCGCCGACTCTAGACGGCATAAATCTGTGCAAATTTTCATAACTGAATAGACATCTGGAGCCGCCCCACCACTTTAAGTGCCCGCAGCTTAGAAACGCGCCTCTGTCAATTGGCACAACTGTCGACGCGTCTCACCCGAAAAGCTCTCGGTCCATTGCCATAGCTGCATCACCGCAGCCCAGCACCAGCCCAGCATGGTCACCCTCGAGGAAGTATCGCACCTCATCCCCAAAACGACGTCGTAAGTTCCAATTCAGGTGCAATTGTCCACCTGCATCCTAACTTACCCTCCCAGGGATGCCGCAACTCCCACGCCCAACCGTGTGGCCGATTCGTACAATCCCTTGCATGCATTCGACCTCGACAAGCAACGCTCGTACAAGCAGCAATATGGCGACATGTACTTTTTGCGTCTTACCAAGATCAAGCCTGCCGTGGAGGAGGTGGCATCGGCCGCATGGGAGGGTACCATGATTGGTGGCGAAGAGGTGAAAAGAGTAGAACGGGTGCTCGATGTTCGCCAGGGAGAATTGTGCTGGGTAGCGGGAACAGTGTACATGGAAATGTCGCTCAAGCCCAATATCCTAGAGGATGTA